GATTTTCCCAAGTTTTTGGGGATTTTAATATACTTATTAAAAGTTATGTTTTATTTTTATTCTATCTATGGGTTGCTCTCCTCTCTTTAGAGGGCAGGCTTGTGAGGGCTAAACTGTCTCATCCTCCAAGTCTCCCTTTGGTTCTTTATTTATATTTATTCTTATTCATAGGGGTTACCCCCTCCCCCCCCATCGTTACGAGCAACCTGACATATCTTCCCTGCTTTCATTTATTTAAATAGAAAGAAAGGTAGTCTTGGGATAGCGCTTCTGCTTATTATGTTATGGTTGGAAAGCAAAAATGTTAGCTTTCCAACGTTAGTCAGGCCTACAAATTGAATGTTTTGTCAGAGCTTAAGCTGAACAAGGTTTTCTTTTATTTATTTTGTAAAAAATTGCTATCCCTCAATAAAAATCAATACCTTAAGCCCTCTAGCCAGTGTCTGAAGGAGTCTGCGGTTTAGCAGGTTTGTTTGGATTCAAATTACCATGTCAAATGGGACATTACGTCGCTATGTATACATATGGTAGATGCCATGCTAAATTCTTGAAGAGGCAACCGCTGGTGATATGATCAGCAGAGAGCAAGACATATAAGTGCAGCAAATCAGAAAATGTGCGATACTGCAGAAATTGTAAAAAAAAAAAAAAAAGGAAAAAATTATAATTGAAAAAAAAAAAACAGCAAAAAACGTACTGGCTTAAGGGAGTCAATATACTTTCTAGCCAATCTGAACCACACGTGGAAGATTGTACTGAATCTGGCTTATTTCCATTTATTAGTTGGACTGATCAGAGGTCACGTTCAGTCCTATAATAAAATAATTACCAATAGAAATAATAAAATAAAGCTTATAAACAGGTAATACTAGTCTCTCAACAACCTAATTTATGTTTAAATATTAAGAACAAAAATTTGAGCTTTGCTCTATTTATTGAATTCTTCACTATCCTACAAGATCAGCTGTCAACAATTCTGTATGTAGTCATTTTAGCTAATTAAGTCATATACTACATTTAGAATGCTGCAAGGGTAACCATGGTAACTATGTTTGCTTAAGCACAGTTGAGCATATAGGTAGCTTTTTTTTCTAGTTTATCTAGAAAAATGGAAATGTACTCTTTTTTACTTTTCATGTTTTAACGTTAACATTTTTATTACTTTAAGCGCCTGGCATCTAAGAATTTTTAAAACATTACACATTGTTTCACACAATAGCTAACTCATGAAATAATGAAGTAGGCCATTTGCTTATATGCTGTAATATAAGCACTAAAGACCAAACAAACGAGACGATCAACATATCCACAGGTAGGAATTACACTACCCAGGGACACACATCTAGAGCTGATCATAAGCTCCAGAAAATAGTGACTATCATTCCTCTTTTGTAATTCATCAGTTACCAAAGATACTACACTATATTCTGTTTTTGTCCTCTTATCTTCTATATTGTCTTAGAAACATAGAAACGTAAAATGTGATGGCAGATAAGAACCATACCTCTCCCTATACAACCAAGCCTTCTGCTAGCATTTCCTGCTGCTCTATTACATTGTCTGATTATAATAATCACCCCTAAATCCCTTTCCTCAGATGCTGGGATCCCTTGGGTTTTTACGTCCAAGATGCATTATCTTGCACTTATCCACATTAAATGTCAGTTGTCACAACTCTGACCATTTTCTAGTTTACCTAAATCATTTGCCATTTGGCTTATCCCTACTGGAACATCAACCCTGTTACATATCTTAGTATCATCAGCAAAAAGACACACCTTACCATCAAGACCTTCTGCAATATCACTAATAAAAATATTAAAGAGAATGGGTCCAAGTACAGATCCCCCAGGAACCCCACTGGTGACAAGCCCATGCTTTGAATATACTCCATTGACTACAATCTTCTGTTGCCTGTCATTCAGCCACTGCCTTACCCATTTAACAATACTGGAATCCAAACTTAAAGATTGCAGTTTATTGATAAGCCTTCTATATGCAACAGTGTCAAAAGCCTTACTGAAATCTAGATAAGCAATGTCTACTGCACCACCCTGATCTATTACTTTAGTTACCCAATCTAGTTTGGCATGATCTTCCTGAAGTAAACCCATATTGTCTCTGATCTTGAAATCCATGTGATTTTAACATAGTTTCCATTACTTTCCCCACTGCTGAAGTAAGGCTTACTGGCCTTTGGTTGCCCGACTCCTCTCTACTACCTTTCTTGTGAATGGGCACAACATTTGCTAACTTCCAATCTTCTGGGACTACTCCTGTTAACAATGATTGGTTAAATAAATCTGTTAAAGGTTTTGCTAGTACACCACTAAGCTCTTTTAATAACCTTGGGTGTATTCCATCAGGACACATTGACTTATTTGTCTTTACTTTTGACAGTTAAAATAGAACCTCTTCCTCTGTAAACTCACATGTAACAAATGACTAAGTGTTCTTGCATAGCAAGACCACTTAATGTTATCTCACATATATATTATTATTAAGTGTTCTTGCATAGCAAGACCACTTAATGTTATCTCACATATATATTATTATTATTAAGTGTTCTTGCATAGCAAGACCACTTAATATTATCTCACATATATATTATTATTAAGTGTTCTTGCATAGCAAGACCACTTAATGTTATCTCACATATATATTATTATTATTAAGTGTTCTTGCATAGCAAGACCACTTAATGTTATCTCACATATATATTATTATTATTATTATTATAGCAAAATTTGCCACCCTAACTCCTCCCACAGTTTTACACTACATAGACAAAAATTTACCAAAACGTGCAGATTGTTCCCGATCGGATTGCTATTACTTTGTGGAATGTTTCGCCGAATGGTTCACGGAATATCGTCATTCTTGTGGCGAAATTTGTCCCATAGGAATGAATGGCAAAGCTAGAGTGGGAGCTGGCAAAAGCTGAAAAATCAGGACATGATTTCTAAACTGCCACCACTACCTTATTTTCAGGCCCACCTACACAAATCTTATATCAAAACGTTCAGCTATCCCTGCTGCCACTAAACATGTCAGCGGCTAAGCCATAGTCCTGATAGTTTTCACAATATAATCATTTGTTTGCAACTAATGTCGTCCATTGACATTCATTGAAACTTCACTCTACAAAGCTCAAATTTGAAGTGCAATATCTAAACTGCGACTGTGCCTT